AATGGATACTGCTGATATGCGACGATGAGGATAGACTGTTCTCCACTTGAAATGAATTCTTGCTTGGTTATACTTTCACTAAATTAAGTTAGATAATAAAATGCATATAAAATTGAGCAGAGTGATAAGTTATTCATTAACACAATTATTTTTAGATCCTTTATACATAAAATGGCACGTTGCCACAAAAAGTCAAATATCCGTAATGGATTTTGACCTCTACCGTCAACGTATTAAGGTTTAAACTCAAGTGGGAAAGAAAAATTTGACAGCTTTTTATAGCCCGATGTGCTGTTGACTGAAAAATATTGAGAATAGATCAATATTGAACGAAGCATTTGAATTATGGAAATTATAGTCAAATGTATTTAATTCATATAATACCCTAACAACCCAAATCGTCTGAAATCGTCTGAAATCGCATTATATTATGAGCATCTCAGTTTCAGTTCATTGATAAGCTATATGTAGCAGTAGTAGTATTTTATTTTACACACTCAACCAGTCAATTAGTGTTCCAATACATTTCTTTTCAAACACAGACCAATGTTTGTAGCAAAAAGAATTTAACAACTTGTCTATGTCCAGTACAAAAGATTAAAAAAAAGAACTGAAGTAGAAGTAAAATAATGTGGTGACTATTTTTATTATGTGTTTGAGAAAAATAATCACCTTTATAAAAAATATTTTTGACATTTAAATTTCACTTCTAGTTCTTAAAAAAAAAATCAAAATTCTGTAAAATAAGACTGATAGAATGTGTATAAGTGTAGTTCTTTTGAAAATTTCGTAATTTTTGTTTCTTCTTTTAATTCAAAATTTCTTTCAGCTTTTGAATAAGAAAAAACGCAATCTTCACAAAGTAACAATAAAAACTATACAGTTAGAATGTATGCCAGCAATTTTCATCCTCTATATGACAAACGGTAAGTTAGATAAACTTCCATTAAAGTTTGATGACGCCTTTAATCTCTCATGAATGTTAAATTTGTATGGGTAATGTCGCTGTAAACTAATGATAATTTTAATTGATGTTTGTGCAACTAGCTGAAGACAATAAACACTTTCGAAAATAGATTTATAAATACAAATAGCTTAGGACAAAATTTAGTTATGCCACGTAATTATCTGGCAATAGTGATATATATATAAAAACAGTTTTTTTTTTTCTGTAAATATGTAAAGATATCGATCAAGGATAATGAATAAGCCGAACGTTCGAGAGCTCGAAACTAATTAAAGTCGTCGTAGCGAATCAATACTTGTAAATTAAGACGGTTTAACTTGCTGAGCTAATTGGGCAAAAGTTCATTTCAAATATTGATATTGCTGTGTCGTCTGGACTCTTTAAAGGTATTCCATAAGGTTAGGGTGCACTGAATACTTTATTTTAATAAATGAAACGATGAAGAGAAATTATGTATTCAATATAGTTTGCGTACGGGATACTATGATTGACAGTTCCTTATTTGTAACTTGTGTTGTAGTTTGTTTTATTTTTTATTAAAACATGTTCGATGCAACATGAACGTGTCAATAACGGTTATATAATAATAATAAAATAAATAAATAAATAAAATAAAAAGCCTTTTATTTCCTACTAAGTATTTAAAAAAACATGTAAATATCTATGAGTTAGTAATTTTTATGTAATATATTTATATTGTTAGTTACATAGTTCGTTTGTAGGAACCCCTCTACAGGTGAAGGCCTCCTCCATGGACATCCAGTTGTCTCTATTCTGGGCTATCTCTATCCAGTTAGGACCCGTTATTCTTTTAATCTCGTCTTCCCGGTTATATAACGGTTAAACGGTTATATAAGTATTTTAAACGCATCGTAAACATCGCGTCAGTTTAGTCGTAATCAGGTGCGCGAGTCGCAATCACGCTAAAGTGCTTCGCAAAATAATAATAATGATATGCTTTATTGGACACAAAACAGGACAAAACAACAATTACTCAGCGCGATTCTCTCTCCAGGCAACCTATCAAGGATAATAAAATAAATAAAACTTGTGAAATACTATCACTATAAAAATATATAGGTTATAATTTCACGACGCTCAAGCGCCATCTAAAATCTACCTTTGCCAGATGACTAATGTGATGGTGACGGCCTTTCAAAACCTATAATAGTGACCAAATCAATCAGAATACCAATATCAGTATAGCGTAGTACCGTATTACAATTATTATTATACTTTGTACACTCTATGATCACATATCATTGAATATTATTTGTTTATTAGAAAGGTATTCGTTCGCAGTCACAATAAAAAAATGTGTATATAATTCTCCCACACTAATTTTACCATCACCCTTGTTTATTGATTTTAACTTAACCTAGACACAAAATTGGTACACAACCGGTTGAAGAATGATAAGATCTACAATAAGTACTGATAAATACCATTCTCTGTGTTATTTTGATTTAAATTTAACAATTTATAATATTAAATTACTTGTTTTTTTATTATAAAAAACAACTTTACTTAAAAAATAAAACTCGAATTGACAGTGTTTACTTAACAGGTCGAGTAACAATTTTCATCGTAAATACACCTATACAGGATAATATTTACCAAAACAGAGTTTGCAATAGCCCGTGTTTTTTGAATATATATAAAACGTGATATTATTAAGAGAATCTTTGAAATATGATCCCGAGTAGCTTATCATCTGCTAAGATAGAGTGAAAAAAGAAACATCGTTATGAAAAACATAAACAAGGTGTGTATTCCCAGCTTAACATTCAAGCCCCGACTCTCAAAGTTACCTTATATTCTTTCGCGTACTTATATTATTTAGCTTTGATATATTCGCAATTTAAGTTGCCTGAAACTCTTCCGAGGGAGGCCGGATTAAATTACATATTTTTTACTCACCAACGAGAGCAAACGACTTTAGTCCGTAAACGAGGTCAGTAACAAAAATGTACCTACTTTAATAAAAAAAAGAAGTGCATATTTATTAGAAAATTAACTAACTCGAATAACATTCGATGATCGTGATTTTTAATGAAAAAAATAAAGTTTAAACGGTCAATATTTTGTTTTATTATTTACTATTTCGAGTGAACATTGCATTCACAAAAGATGGATCCGAAATACTGTTATCTGAAGGTAGCCCCGATAGCTTTTGAGTATTTTTTAAGCTCATGACGTCATCGCCGACCGTTTTGTGAATAAAAAGAGAGGCTTTATAAAGTAACATAAACTTTATTAAGTATTATAAAGTAACGTAAAGTAACATGGAGTATGGAACGCATATGGCCCAAGTTGGGTGTGAATCGGTGAGCGCGAGAGAAAGATACAGCTGTAACTGATTGCTTTCAGATTCTAATGCCCGTTTCACTAACCTTAGGAATCGCTCGGATAAATATTTAAGAATCGCCTAAGGTTGCATTTTACCAATGATTAGTCATGATATACGTTATGCGGCGCCTTGCGCTGGGCATTTCCGTAATATAACAGGTCACAAATGTGTCAAGGAATGAAGGGATGTGTCAAGGTGTGAAAAGAAAAGATGTTTATTTGGAATTTAACTAATCTGCTTAGACGATTCGTAAGATTAGGCGTTTCCTAGTTAAGCTATGCCTTGTTATAAGTTAGTGAAAATGGGTGTAAGTATTATATAGGCTTCGGAAGATCCGTAACATCAGTCGCTTAACTTCATGAACTAATTATGTATATAAGATATTCAAACAACATCAACCGATCAGTTAGTCCATCGGGCATCAGTTGTGCACATTTGAAGAGACAAAATTTCAAATTCACCATCGAAATTATTATTAAAATTAATATGTATGCTTAAATACACTTCGATGACGCACGCGTAGCATGACGAACTCGAGAAACTGATCGAGAGTGAAATATGTAATATAATATCACAGTCTGGGCCTCGAGGTCCTCATGTCCCACGGGTATAGATATTCGTACGCAGTACAAGCAACATAATTATTTTTATGGGTTAGAGAGGAAGGTATTTGTAAATTTCAAATCTTTAAGATCGATATACGATATCTAATGAAGTGTTTCGTCATTTAATTAGTCAACATAATTCATGTATTTTAATGTGGTAAAATGGAGACCATAATGGAACTCACGCTTTATGAAATGTTTAAAAGAAGGACGCGAAAGAAGCTGTTATTATTCTATATGTATACCCTGTGTAATCTCTTTTCAACTCAGTGAACTGAAATTTCACAAGGAAAACGATTAATATAGTTTGCAATTAAATTATTTTAAACACACAACTAGGGAAGTTTTATATTTGTTATCTTTTCATTATATGCAAGCGTCTTCTTAACGGGTGTACATTACAGTTGATTTGTACAATTGTACAACTAAACACTCAATAAAATAAAATAAAATGTCAAATGAAGCATAGCGAGTATCGCTTAAAAAAGAGTAGCAATTTCTTCATCAAAGAGTATCAACATCTTAGATACAGTATATTCGCGAATATCAGATAACGTACTTTCTATTATAATAATTTCAAATGCTTAACAAACATTTTGAAGAGACGCAGTAAAAAATGTAAATCATATTTAATTGTTTGTGATTAAATTTTTTTTGTTGAGTTCACATATTGTTTTTTAAGCATTTTTTATCAAGAATATTTTTCAGTATAACTCTGTGAATGGGAAATTGGTCAAATAATAAAAAATCAATCAAATGTAATTAAAAACAGCAAACAACCTTAATCTGTTATTAAATAATTAAGTATGATTCTACGCTTAGAACTATTTTTTGGGCAACAAGGTTCTTTTGCATAATAAAGCATAATGTTTTCTACTGCTGCAGTTTTAAAAACTAACTGAATTAAGTTTAAATTACATTTTTCCATCCTTACTAATCAGTCGGTGCGGGAAAGTACTTGAGACAGTTGGCTTATTAGCACACTAACAGGCAAAACATATTCTTAAATTATCAAATATGCACAACTGATTTAACAATTTTTTAATTGAAGAATTAAAAAGTATAGCGGTGACTGTACCTTAATTCCAATGTGAATGGGGAAATCTGATGCCAACGCTGGCTGTGGATGTAACGCCGCCGGTAGCAGCGGCAGTGGCAGGGGACAGGACATCATAGCTGCGCCAACCTGAAATCAAAATTCAGATAATTTAAATACTGCTAATTTACTTGTTATATTTTTCATAAAGTTTCTCTCGAATTTGTTTAGAAAAACTGTTCAAAGATTATTATAGTGTAAATCCGACGATTTCAAGTGTATTGATAATAGATATATAGAAATTATAAAAATGACCACAGTATAATTATACAAAATAAATTAGTGTAATAAGATCGCATAAGGAAAAAGAATCATAACTTAATGCAAAGCAGAATCAACTGTATGTAAATATCTATTAAAAAAATCTTCGTATATATTCTTATAAAAAAAAACTTCTACGTATAATTGAACGTCTTATAAAAACCTCATTTGTCTTTTTAACAATTACGCATTTATAATATCGTATTATATTCGGATATCGAACGCACACGAACAATAGGTCCGATTCTCTTTTCCACAAACACGCAATATAAGCGTTAGCGGACGCAACTAATACCAATCGGCGTTTCGGTCCGTTGCAACAATTTAGTTAGCGCTATTAGAAAAGCCATGATGAACCTGAGTATAAACGCTCTGATATTCCGTTTGGAACGGGCGCGGTACGCTGGAAACATATGAATAATATACGACCTGCATACGGTTGCGGAGATCAGACCGTATTACCGTATGTTTTCGCACACGTGACAAATACAAGCGACGAGCGAACGGACAGCCCGACGCGGTAATCGTTTATGTAGGACGACGTTAATTGTGTAATTGATATCTGTATGTTTTGTCGCTATATTTGGTGCCTTCGGCTAATTAATGAAACTGGGGATGTGCCGACAGTTAGTTTGAAAGAATGATTGCAAATGGAATATGTATTATGAGGAGTTATATTATGAATATATATTATTTTATGTATGAAAAAAGTAATAAATTACGGAAATATTCACACCAAACTTGTATTTAGATGATTCTTTGAAATCTTCCGCAGGGCATTTAAATTTTTACTATTAAAAAACAAGATTAGAGGAAAGTGACCAAACATTGAATTTTTCCATAAAATATTCCTTCGCTGGGTTTATTTCAAAGCGAATTAAAATTCAGTGCCTATATTCGAAAAATAACTAATATCTTTTATTGTGTCACAAATCGGCATTACATATAAATGCTATTGAAAATAAATTAACCTATTCAAAACAATATTGTTTACAAATCGTACTAGGAAAGGATGCAAAGTTTTAATAGAAATGTCCGTAGACCAAATCCCGAAGCGCCCTGGGATACTATGTCACAATAAATCTACTGAACTATACACTAATTAAATGATATGAAACAAATTGGTTCCCGAATTCTGTGTCGATGGAGTGTTTTAAACAATTGTTGTGTTTGTTAGCTAATTGTAACATAAGTAATTTTAACGTGTATTTAATAAATTTATGTAATTTGGTATTTTAATTTCGTATGAAAAACTATTAGTCACAAAAACAAATAAGCATTTATTTTTAAGAAACCATGTTTTTCGTTAATAAATAAAAAAATATACAAAAAAAATAATGCGTTACGGAAATAAAAAGTTATCGAAATCGTTATAGAATAAAGATAAAGATTTTTTTTTTGTAAAGGCACAAGAAATCTCATTTGACTTGATTCGTCTTCTTCTTAAAGATTTGGTTTTAGATTTTTAGACATAGTTTTTTGGTAGGGAACAGTATAAGGCATCATAAGTTGCAACGTCAATAGACAACTTCTACTTTATCTTCTACTATATTATAGTAATAAGCAGGTTAAAAAAAATAGAACAAAATTTTATATGAATTTTGTGCACTAATTAAATATGTTTCCCGTATACAATCAGCCAGGAAGCCAGACCCACATTGTATAGATATATTATTATTGTATGGATATATTAAATGTATATAATTACGAAATCGAAACATTATTTGCGGATGTGGCATTTTCCTCGAAAATGCGTCATCTTTTCGTAATTTCCTGTTATGGACTCACTGTACTTTATGGTTATTCTCACTAATTATATCGAGGATTGATGAGGAAATGTCTACACAGGTATATAATTGTGTAATTGGAGTACCTCCACCTAACATTTTCTATATATGACATTTGATCATATCTGTTATTGAATGTATTTTAGTATTCATATGAGAAATTAATATTCTGTAACCGGATTATATTTTCAACTTATCTATCAATGATTTAAGATTAAATTCAATTGTGAAAACAGCCCCCTAATTGTCTAATTTTAAATCTATTGCAATCGCTTTCAGTTTGAAAGGTGTTGCACAAAAAAAAGTATTTGTATTATGCAGCAATGGTTGTGCAACACCTTTCAAACTGAGAGCGATTGCAATAGATTTAAAATTAGACAATTAGGGGGCAGTTTTGGATATTGTTAAACTGATAGACTATTGAACCCACAAAAATCTTTTCATTATTCTTAATACAAAATGCTTAAAAAATCCATTTGGTCCCTGGCACCCTGAGATGGGAATCGAACCCACGACCTTTCGCAATCCGGGCGACTGCTCTAACCACTGAGCTACCCAGGACCTAACAGGATCGACGAATCTTTCAAGCACTTGTTACTTTTCGCTACTACAGAGCGTATTCTCATCAATGTTCAGTATGGCATTGTGAATGCAAAATTAATAAAAATATAAAAATCTTTTCAACGGAAAAGAGAATTAGTGTCACAAAATAAACGAATAAACTGAAATGTTTTCCAGTTAATTTAATTTATTTTATGTTATATTTTCAGTTTTATTTTAAATAGATGCGTTTGCAATAATAGGAGAATACACGAGAAGCATATACTATAGTAGTTCTAATATACTGTTAACGTTTATTAAGAGCATATACCATATCAAATACACTGTGGTTTTCGAAATATTATTTTTTATACAACCTTTGTTCCACTATAATTTTGATACCATATAATGAAGCGATACATTACTTTTTATAATAAAGTTTTGAGTTGAAAGTTCGCCACGCACCGCGTTTACGTGGTTCGCTTATCCCATTAATTATATAAATGTAGGTTTCATTACTGTAATTAATGGAGTTACGTAACTGTCATAATAACAAAACTTTACTTCGGAATAGTTTGTGGGGCGGTTTTACGCTCACAGTGTAGCGGCAGATATTATCATTCATAAATACAAGCATAAATAAACTAATAATAATAATATTGGTTCAATAAACCCTAAACATCATTATATCATATCTTAGGACATAATTTTTATAGGTTTGTATAAACATATCGCAACTAGAGCCATACTATGAAAGGTTGCCGACCAATCACAGTGCTCAGTTTCAAGTCACGTGTAATAAAAGTAACATTAATTCAGACTGTAATGGCTAGTCGTAAAAGTAGTACTTCTACGAGTAATTTAAATTATAATTATACAAAGTTTAAATTTTATTGCAAAATATAGACATATCAGATCGGTAACAAGTGTTATTACTCCTAAATAATTGAAAAGGAAACCCGTAAGTATCGACTGTTAAGGTTAACATCTTTTATTTCTTGTAGGTTCAGTTGAAAATTTTTGTACAATTTCGGAACAAAATCCCTTGGTACAAAAAAGGAATCTTGGGGAGATGAATAAAAAAAACACATTCGCAGAACGAATACATTTACTTAGAATCAACTTTGCATATAAGTTGTAACAACTTTAACGTGAAATATAATTAAGTGTAATTAATAATTCTCCATTTTCAGTTAATAATTTATCTGTATTTTTTTAAATTATTTAGTCGAGATAATTTTATACGGTGACTACAACGAATTTGATAAAAAATTCTTGATGTTTGGATGATTGATTAAAACAGTTTAATGTATAATTATATTAGTTAGTATCACTATGCTTATTATATATATATATATATATATATATATGTGTGTGTGTGTGTGTGTGTGTGTGTGTGTGTGTGTGTGTGTGTGTGTGTGTGTGTGTGTGTGTCTTATAATTTTGAAAAATAAATACTACTTTGAAGATATAACTACATAGGATATAGTTACAGGATTAATTTCAAATATAAGAAAACTGTCAATTAAATGTCATTTTTAAAATACATTTATTTAATCTGTGTTATATAAATATTCCGTTTGCATCTTAAGAAGTGACATTAAGCAACAAAATTATCAAATAACAAGCTAAACATAAAAAAAGTTTCTTTTAATTAAGGATCCCTTTGCTACAAAACTAATTATGAAATTAAATAAGCGAGGATATCCTGCAAAGCAGTGAGCCTTTTAAAGCTCTGTTTACGAACCATCGGCTAGAATAAAAAAAAAACACTACTACCAGCTAAGGGATTTTACCATTTTCTATAGAACGCTATCAAAGGCTATTTCAGGAAACGTATATCCTTATGAATTAACCTTACCATAAATTCGAATAATTCTTTTTCCAATTTGAATGCATAAATATGAAATCCGCACAGTTATTTTATAAATGATATTAATATTATTCTTGATGTTTTTAATATCTTGACAAATGCATAACATTATTATATTTGATCAATTTCGCTTTCACAAGGCTATACTGAAAAATATTCTTAATTAAAAATTCTTAAAAAATCCACTTGGTCCCTGGTACCCTGAGATGGGATTCGAAATCATCTCATCATCATCATCAGCCCTTTTACGTCCCCACTGCAGGGGCTCAGGCCTTCCTTATGGATGGTTAAGGAGTATGGGTATGGGCCATGACCCTCCACGCTGGCCCATCGCGGATTGGGGGGTATTAACGAATGCAAATTCAGCATAGACCAACGGCTTAACGTGCCTTCCGCAGCACGGAGTAGCTCGAGATAATATTTTTTTGGTCACCCATCCCGTGACAGACCATTGCGAAAGTTGCTTAACGACAACGATCGCGGGCCGCGGCGCTTATTCACTCATGACCTTTAGCAATCCGGTCATGTTATCGAATCCAAGTGAATTTTTAAGCATTTCTCGTTTCAAATATTCTACAAATATGTTATACATTTCATTAAGAAATGTATAAAATATTTGTAGAATATGT